AATTTGTCTTAAATGACTTAAAAAAAAAAACTAAAATTATCGCTGGGTCGGGCTCTGTTTGCTGACGCGAACGAGGACAAAATGGAGCGGGGGTGTACGACCCTGCTGCCTCCATGGCCGCCATCGTAATTAAATTAATTTTTTGATTATGCATAAAATTAAACTCAAAATAAAACTTAGAATAATTAAATAATCAAATTTAGACTTCTTTTGAGCAATTTTTAAATAAAAAAAAAATTAAAAATTTGTTCTAAAAAGTTGCTTTAAAAAGCATTAAGAAAGGCTTCCCAAACTAAGATTTTATTTGAGATGACTTTCTAATTTCTTATTAAAATATTTTTTAGTACAAAATTTACAATTTAATATTAAAAAACTCTTTAAAAAAATAGTAAAAAAAAATCGTCCCAAATCAAGCTTAGTATTAAGCTAGAATTATCGCACGTTTCTCTTTGACCTATTGGTTAAGAGCTTAGGTTTTTAATTAAGAGATTTAGGGATCGAGTCTATTATCGCTGGGTCGGGCTCTGTTTGCTGACGCGAACGAGGACAAAATGGAGCGGGGGTGTACGACCCTGCTGCCTGCATGGCCGCCACATTAAAAATCTGGCAGCCGAGCTGGGCTGAGCTCGGAGAAGATTCTACCAACAAGCAGGGAGTTGTGGGATTTTCTCTTTTTTTATTCTTTTTAATTTTTATATTAATTTAGCTATTGAATGAGTCACGATATATCTGGGTCCCATTTATCCAATCCAGCTTAAATAGCATAGGCTCGGAGCCATTCAAATTTTATTAATTAAAAAAAAAGGATAGGATATTTTGAGGGTACTGGATCTCAAAATATAAAATTTATCTTGAGATGCATGCATAATAAATTTTATTATTAATGTTTTTAAGGGATATGTGAGGTGTTGGTTCAATTTTAATTAGGTTGTTCTTCCATGTTATCACAACAATGTATATGCCTATGTATAGGCATTTTAGACCGATCTAAATGTTGGGGAAAATTGAATAAAGTTTTAGGTTAGTTTTCCTCATGAAAATTGTCATCCATTCTCTTCTTCTTCTTCTTATTCTCTTTCTCTCTCTATCTCACACGCACACACACACACAACAAGAGCTCAAGAAGCTGTCAAGATTCCTCTCAATTTCTTAACAAATGGTATCAAAGCCTGGTGGAGATGATTGACTGACGAGGTGGAAGGTTCTTGTCCAAGAAGGGAGAAGACAGGTCAAGGTCACGCCAAGAGCAGGGCTCGCAATTGAGAGTTGTAGTCGATCCGATGTCTCCATCTTGGGCGTGAGCTCACGATTGCCTTTAAGGGTGATGTGAATGAGCTCGTTGATGGTCACGACAACGACCATATTGCAGTGTCAATGCTTGTTGTCGTAGAAGCCTTTCTTGTACCATTGGCATTGACGACAGAGGGCTTGAAGGAAGAGGAGGAATCTTCATAGCTGTCACGACCCGACCCGAGACGGATCCCGCCCACACCGGGCCGCGACCAGCTTAACGAACAGACAGACCAGGATCTGGCTTTGGAATTTGCTTCCGAAGTGATTCTTCCAAATATTTAAACTCAAAAACAGACAAACACATAGCTACTATGAAACATCAAATGCAGCGGAACAAATCATCTATATTTTTCTTTTACTCAAAACAATCATCTACAAATACAGCACATGACTGACAGATAAAACAAAGAAGAAAAAGTCATGACTGTACAAAAATCAAAAAGTACAAAATACCTATAACTGATCTGATCAAACTCTGAACTCTAAGATCTCCTT